ACAGCAGTTAGCATCACTAACTATCAGATAATCAATTTTTTTTTTTCAAGAAACAACAGAATTTGAGCATGTCATATTCCACCTGCCACTTACATGATACAACCAATGACAAATGTTCTACAATTTTCATTTCATTTGACTTACAGGCCGAGAGACTACGCCCCAACTTGTGCAATATAATATATCATTTTGGTGCTAAAGCCACATTAAAAAGTACATAAATAAAATCATCAAATACAGTAAAATGTCACATAGGAAGGCAAAAACCACTACTTAGAAACATGAACATGGACGAATGCACCAATATTCGCACCTAAACACATGATTTGGTGAAACAAGTATTTTTTGTTTGGGGAGGCATGGATTTAAAGTCAAGCCGGTTAGAATTTTTCTTATTATTCATTGGATCTCCCCGTCTCTAATGACCCAAATATTCATGGTCTAAAATAATTGTTGAAAGAAGAGTCACTGGTCAGGATTCTACAACATTGCTTTTTCAAGTTCAACACTGCTGAAAGAGTTTCAAGAGTTTACTGGAAATCATTCCAATACTATGGACTTGTTTGTTACAGCTTCAGTGTAAAATAATAACTTATTAGAAAATAATCTTCTTTTTTTTCTTAAAGTTTTTCTTGTGTATGTTTAGCTTTTCAAAACAACAGAAGTTGAAAAGAATATAAAAACTGATCAAAATCATATACTATTTCGAAAAGCTTCTTATAAGATCAGCTGCTTCTTTTAAAACAAATTAATTTTTATATATATATGGCTGAAAACTTCCAAATTATGATTTAGGCACGTTTTTGCCAGGGTAAGAACTTCTCCTATAAAGTCCAAACATGCACCTACTGATTCAATGTCAATTAACTTCCTTTTCAATCTTGTGATTATGGTGTCAACCCAACACATGCCAGACAAGACTTCCATCATCCATCCAATTCAAAATTTCACATTTATACTACGTGACCATCAATTACCCATAACAAATTAAGAAAAATCAAGGTTAACTCACGAACTTTTTTTCCCCCAAAAATTAAAAGAAAAACATAATCATCACTGGAGAACATAAAAACCTCCTACACACCCAATTAGTTAGGGATGTGCAAAAAAACCGAACCGAACCGAACCATTTATAAAATTGAACCAAACTGATCCAAAAAATAACCGATCGAAACATAAAATATTTAAACCGAACCGATTTAGAAAAAACCAATTAACAAAACTTGTTTATTTAAAATGGATCAGATCAAAACCCCTTAAAAATCTATTTTAACTTTCTTTCGAATCCGAACTGCAACTGCCAGCTGCTCTACTCCTACTCCTAATCTCCTATGCGCAACACTCTTCTTCTTCTAACTAAAGGGAGGATTTCCTTTTGTTGTCACTGCGCTGCGAAATCCCTAGAATTCCTTGCGTTGCACTGAATGTGAAGTCGTGTTTTGATCAAGGGTGACATTGCTTGCGTTGCACTGCGTGCGAAGTCTCTGATTTGGTTCATTCTTATCGTAGAATATGTCTCTTATTCGCTCTCCTTTTTGCTCTCTTTCGAGGGTTTTCTCGTGAAGAACACTTCGGAATTCACCACCCCGCACCATGTCTAAAGTTCTCGGCTTTTTGGGTGAGTTCGTCGATTCGTCGCATTTTTTCTTTGATTGGGGGTGTTTGGGTGATGGGTTTTGGTTTTGGTCCAAAAAATTTTATGGGTTTTAGTTGTTTAGGTTGTGCTAATTAATTGGGTGCATAGGAGGTTTTGGTCCACAATCACAAACTTATATTCAAAATTGGATATCTGACTCAAATAAAAAAGTTTACTTGGCCCCTTACTTTTCTGAGTAAGTCTACTTTTATATAATTAATTATAATTTTTTATAAAAAGTATTTTCTATCGCTAATAATTTCTTAATGTAGTGCTCATTGGAAACTTCTAGTTATTTGTCCTATGGACAACATAGCTGTATGTATTTGCTCATTGCATAAACCTCCTCCTGTGGATTTTAGACAATTATTAGATAAGTAAGTTGTTTAAAAACATCTACTTTCTTTTATTGATTATCATTAAATTTGACTTTAAACTATAATCATAATGTCATTTTATCATTAGGGCCATGGAAGGATATCATATACTTAGGAGTTCAAAGTTGAAGAAAAAAATGAGTTGGGTCTCTCCTAAAGTAAGATTTTAATTCTAGCAATGATATTTTTTTAAGTAATTTTGTTTTGAATTACTATTATTATTGAAATTGATTTGGTATTCTTTTTGTAGTCTAACAAACAAAAAGGAAATTATGAGTGCGGATACTATTCAATGAAGACAATGCATACTATTGTTGATTCACAAATAGTATTTAGGTGGACTGAAGTAAGTTTTACAATTTTGAAAGTTTTCATTTTATGTTCTCATTTTATATATTTTATGAATTATTACTAATTATTCTAATTTTTTTAACAGATATTTATACATCGATCACTATTATCACTAGAAGACATAAACACCATTAGGGAACAATGGGCAACATTTTTTGTTGGCCATTGCTTTGACTAGTTAGGACTTACATTTCATTGAGCAATGTGGTCAATTTATGTATTACATGTATTTAAAACTATTCGATTATATATATGATTGACATTTATCATCTCTTCTCATTTGTATGCAATTTGGTTTCTCGAGAAGTAACATAGAAAATATAGATATTTTGGTTAATTGAAAACATTTGAACTACCTAGTATTTATTCATTTGCAGGTTTTTTTTCTGAGACACTCCCAAAACAAGTCAAACATTTCAAAAAAATTTACCACTTTTAAGACTGTTTATTGCAATAATCAATCTTAAAAGTCCTAGTTTTTAAAATTGGGTTTAAGATCATAAAAATACACTTTTAAGATCAGTTAATAACCAATTTTAAAAGTTAAAAATAACTGATTTTAAAAGTCTTTTTCCACTAGTAATGATAGGTAAGTCCTTAAGATCAGTAGTATCACACGTCTAAAGGAGAATTTATCTAACATGTTTATTGAGTATTTCAGATTATCAATCTATGCTGCTGTCATATACATCCCAAGACAATTCATCTAATATGATAACTTTGATCTACAACCAATTTTGTTCCAATGGCTCACAAAATTTTTTGACAATCAAAACATATCGTAGCCACCAACTTTGTTTCCAACCATATAAGAAAATCGAGAGAAGAAATAAGCGACCAAATTTGTCCGAACTATTGATAATATTTGAAGGGCAGGAGCTTCGATTGATGCCTGTAATTCGGTACCAACGAAACAGCTCTTCTCAATTGCACCAGGTGTCACATAATTGGACTCGCCCATGGTTCCATAGACTCATTTCTTGGTCTTTTCCTATGGAACTAGGAGATTTTTTTATTTAATATATTCAACTCTGATTTTCTTCCAGAATTTCTACCTCTTTTTGAGTAATTCATACAGATAACCGCTTTTCGAGTTCTTCGGATTAAGTCAAAAGAGGTCTTTGGTCTCTGTATGGAAGTTTGTAGATATCCTTAATGAGACACAACATTTGTTTTGGTCAGTATATATGTGCATTGCATCCATAATAAATCTTGCTAATTATTAAAAGGGACGATAACCTGCCACATGAAGCACTTTCATTGAGTGTCAATGTCAAAAATTACAAACCCACAAACAGAATAAGAATATGAACTATAGAACACAAGTTCGAAAAGAATCACTTGGTACAAAAATGAAAAGTAAAAAAGGAAAGAAGAAACCTTCAAACTGGTAAACCAGATTACTCTCGGAATACCTGTCAAATATATTCTAGCCTCTAATCGAGCATCAATTGTGCACAGGGTTCTTGGAAGTGCATAAGCACTACACAGTGGTGAAATCAGATAAACTGATCATTGCAAAGAATGATGGTACCAAATGTGATGGAAGATAGAAGAACATGAGAAAGCTGAGTTTGGAAGTTTCAAAAGATTAAAATTGTGACCAAATCATTAACTACAATAGCATTTCGGAAACAAGACTGAAAGAAATGTGTTTTGTTTCCCATACATGCTTTACTTAACAAAACAGATAAATTCAATTTGATTTCCATTGCTGATTTGTTTAATAATAAAGCACGAGACTAAACATAGTTACATAGACGATGAAGTTCAAACCGAGAATTGTTGCTCATTAGATTATTAAGTTCTCTAAATATATAAGCAAAAGATCATTTGCAGCAATTGTAAAGGAAACCAGATTCGTTTGCAAAATAGAAAGTACACATTATCAAATGATTTCTTAATGACACTGAAAAATACACCTAACTGACAAGCTACTTTTATGAAAGGAAAAACCCTAATGACACTGTCACAAACCTCTACGCCTAAAACAATGAAACAATTATTTTTGTATTCCTACAATCGGAAGAAGACTTTTACTATAATTTAGTATCCAAGAATAAAATCTCCCTCCTGTAACATTAACCTCCTCAATCTTCTGTGTGCTTAAATCAAACCAGACTAATTCACTGTCTATTCCTCTGAAAATTATACTTCTCTTCCCCATTGCAATAGGATACTCAACACAAGACAAAGGCCCAACAACAAAGAGTTTAATCCATGATTCCTTCACACCCATCTCACCCAAAACTGATATATAAAATGTATTTGTGCCTACAATATTTGAGACCAAAGCAATGGACTCATTCAACACATTCAATTGTCTATCTAAAAATTCAATACCATTTTCATAATCAACGTCTGGGGGGCATGGCTGTTGCGAAGAACACCTCATTTCTCATGTCAAATGACACCAAATATTCTTCACCATCATCCCTTGTGCCTCGATGCCACCAATGAGAGGCTCCATCAAGGTACACTTGCTCACTTAAATTATAGGAGCGAGGAAAACAAGGCACATTAACATCAAGTTCCCTCCAAGAATTACTTCTTAAACTAAATATTTCCCAAATGTAGTCACAGTACAACCTTGGATTGTATCCCTCATCAACTTTACCAACCAATGGTAACATGATTTACACCTGTAGAATCACCTTGTAATCATCTCTTACAGGGTCATAACCAAATCCATTAAAACGAACATGAGCACGGTCATTAGGTTGTAACTCAAAAAGGCTTGGAGGAACCACCTTGAATTCCCTGGTTGCAGGATTCCACAGCACAACTTTTGTAGACCCTTGGCAGAGAAAAAGAACGCCATTGATACTGCCAGATTCCAAAAGACAAACAATATCATTCCTTTCAATTGGAGGTGGCCAATCTAATTTCACCATTTTTTCAAACTTCTTGCCGGATAGAGAGTACAACTCATTCTGATCTTCACGGTACAGTACCATGAGAGGTATATCCTCATGAGAGGATAAGAATTTGCTGCGATATATACTCATAAAACTAGGGTTTTGGAATAAGAGGGACCATGATTTACATACGCATGCACACTTCTTCAGAGATTTCACCGGCAATTTTGACAGAATGTAGAACATAAGATCATCAGGTATGTGGTTTGCCCTAGCCATGGTTTTCTTCATCGCACAAACGAGATAGGAAGAGAAGGCAAAAACAAAAGCTAACGAAAGAGTCGTCGCATTTGGGAGGTACAGCACTGGTCTACAAAATATATATAAGAAAGTAAATTTGGGAGACTTGCAAATAAAAATATATGAAAACAGAAATATAAAAATCTGTTATTAATTCATTTTATTTTGTTTCAGATAAAAAGAATCTGTTATGAGTATAATATTTTATATTTAGATAAAATAAAATAAAATCTGTTGTAACTAACACAATTCGAATGTAACCAAAAAAAAAATCTGTTATAGTTATTCTTCAATATAGTGTTAAGGTATGCTCTTTTATTTTTTTATAATCGAATTAAATTAATTATAAAAATTTTAGATTAACAGATTTTTTATGGAGATGTTAAAGAGTAACACCTTTTGCAAACTATCATTATAAACAAAAATACTTTTATTTATTATATAGATATGAATATTGATATAATATATTTTAATATATTAAAGTATAGATATAAAATTATAATAATAAATAATATATGTCATTAAATTTCATTCAAAAAATCAATACTAAAATTGTGTATATTTATTTATCAAATATATTTATATTTATATATAGTATATCTAGCTATAGTTATATTTTTTTACATATTATTATATATAACATTTTTTTTGTAATATAGTCACTTTAACTACTAGGTCAATTTCTTTTTATAAGAATAAAAAATCTTATGTGAAATATATTATTACTTAAAGTATAAACATAAATATTTATGGTAAATAGTTAAAAAAAAATCAAATATACGAAAGTGATCCCTAAAATCACTCTCATTTAACCTAAAATCGCTATAATGAAATGAATAACCTCTGAAATTGTTTTCATTTAACCTAGTTATTTTAATTTGTATATAAAAATAATATAATCTATAATTTAAAAATATTATTTATTATAAGTTGTAGTAATATAAAATAGTCTTTTCATCATTATTACATAAACTAAAATAAACTAGCTATAAATAATTGATATATTTATATTATACAAATTACTTATATGCTGACCTTACACTATTTTTTTAAGATAATATTTTGTATTTATCATGTTTACCACTTTAAAATTTTAATTTATTTTCAATCTTAAACTGATTTTAATTTTAAATGTTGTTATAGGAACTTAGGTCCCTCTTCTAGTGTCAATATTTTAATTAACTTCAATTTAAAAATATTATTTATTATAAGTTGTAGTTATATAAAATATTTTTTTCATCATTATTACATAAACTAAAATAAACTAGCTATAAATAATTGTTATATTTATATTATACAAATTATTTATATATGCTGACCTTACATATTTTTTTAGGATAATATTTTCTATTTATCATGTTTACCTCTTTAAAATTTTATTTTATTTTTAATCTTAAATTAATTTTAATTTTAAATGTTGTTATAAGGACTTAGGTCCCTTTTCTAGTGTCAATATTTTAATTAACTTTAAGTCTCTTAAATTCGTTAAAATCACTGTATCTAATATATGACTTTAGTATTTGTTTGCTTATCACGATTTTTGTTTAAAAAGATATCTTGATAAGTCAAGAAAAGAAAATGTTTATGAAACTCAACTCCAAAACTATATGAGACTCTTTCAAATACAAGAACATGAGTCAATTTCAAAATCTACCAATCCAAAAATAGAATAAGAATATGAACTAGAAATAAGTTCAAAGAATCACTTAGTCAAAAAATAAAAAAGAAGAAACCTTCAAACAAATAAACCAGATACCTCTCAAGTGTCAATACTCTGGCCTTTGGAAAGGGGCCCCTTTCTCAAAACATTACTCTCACCAGACCTATGTCTTTTTAAATCCAAAGTAAATGAACCATATTGAATGGACAAAAAGCCTGTATGTCAGTTCCTTAATAATGACTAAGTTTCCATTTATCACGCATAAGAAAACATGTTAGTTCTTTAACTATATTGGATACAATAACAACTCGCGTGAATCGACATGGAGTAACCAAAACAATTCTTTGGAAGGCGTTGGGTATAGTATACTTTTCGGAAAATCTAATATTGAGAATATAATTTTTCATATTTGATTTATTATTTTAAAAAATAATATTTTTATAATGATTTTTTTTTTTTTACTGAATTGTCTATGTAAGAGGTGAAAAAACTTGCATTCTTAAATTAAAAATAACATTTTAATGCAGTAAAATTATCACATTATCTTTTATTTACTTATTTAATGAATAATATTTATAAATATCTTTAAAAATATTTATAATCAATATAACATAATTGTTTACGGTGGATTTCGTTTTATGGATCCTTTTTATTCGAACTAGCACGATTTCACGTTTCAATTTATGCGTGTTCGTGACATGACAGAATTAAAGACTTTCAGTGAAAAAAATAAAATCGTACAAGTAAGAAATAGAGTTTTCATTAAATGGTAACAGAATTACAATCCGTAAGGGTAACGAAACGTGTTTAGAATGACTACACTACACTAGACTAGATTATGCTATGCTACGCTATGCTATGCTACTCCTAAAAAAGGAAAAAGAAAGGTGGTCGAGAAATCGTACCCAAAGCTGTCTCGTACGCACAGTATGCCTTATGCACAGGCTGCGGAGTGCATGTGAGGTATTGTGGGAATTAGATTTTCGACCCCCTGCTACGAGCATGGCTCGTTTAATTTATAGACAAAGATTTGGGAAAGGTAACTGTTTCTGACGTGCCTCGGAAGTGCATAACCGTTCTAAACTTCCACCTCGACCTCATGGCTTATTCCCGGGCACGTCTTTGGATAACTCTTGGAACTGCTCATTAACTTCCCCAAACCGTTCTGCAGCCTTTGACACTTATCCCATGATTTACTTCAACCGCTCTTAAATCGTGTCTCCTTTAAGTTCTTCATTCCGAGAGGTTGCGAAGTGTGCTCGTATATGTCCAGATTCTTGGGATTTCGAGTAACCAACGAAAAATATACTACTCGAGTGTTTCTTGATTTTTCTTGTACTTTGAGAGGTTGCGAGGCTTTGAGCCTTTCTCTTGAGCAGCGTCCTTCCTAGTTCAATAATTTCGAGAGTTTCTCGAAAAGTGTCTTCGTGTCCTTCCTGGTACAATGATTTCGAGAGTTTCTCGAAAAGTGTCTTCGTGTCTTTCCTGGTACAATGATTTTGAGAGTTTCACGAAAAGTGTCTTCGTGTCCTTCCTCAGAAACTTCTTTGCCATTTTCCGATCACCTAGGATTTAAAGCACCTCTGTATTTCGAGTGCCTCCGAATTCATTTTCCGGTACCAACAATAATTTTATTATTTTTATGAATTATAATTCTCAGAATTTATGATTTTCTTGAATGATTTTAAAAAAAAGTTTACCCATGATTTCAGCAAACTCCTCAGTGTACATATCTATTGTGCTGGCTTCGATCTCCTTCCCTTCTTCCGTCCGAATCTCTTGGAGTTTCTAATAATTAGAGCAACTTAATCAATTATAAAGTAATTCATGTTCCTCGTGTCTCAATATAACTAAGCCCCAAATGTCAGGCATTGTAATAGCCAAAGCAGCGCTTGAAAGTTGCAAAAGATTCAAAATGTAACCAATTAAATCACAAACTACAATAGTGTTTCAGAAGAAGCAAGACTAGAAGAAAAAACTTACGGAAAGATTATGAAATGTGTTTTTGTTTCCCATACACGGTTTCTTTAACAAATCATAAATTGCATTTGATTTCCATTGCTGGTTTATTTAATAATAAAGCAAGAGATTAAACATATAGTGTGACATAGACGATGAAGTTCAACCCGATAATTGTTTTTTTCATTTTATTGAAAGACAAAAGCGAATTTATTATATAAGCACTTAAGGCCACGATGTGTGAACCTACATATGCAGATTGTAGTTACAAAAAACAGCAAAAAGCACCAATTCATTGCATATTACTGCAGAAAAACAAATACCAGATTATATAAGCAAACAGAGAATTGTTACTCATTAGATTAATGAGTTTCCTAAATCTGTGTAAAAGATCATTTGCTGCTATTGTAAAGGAAACCAGATTCGTTTGCAATAGAAAGGGAGTACACCTTCAAGATAAAATTGATAAAAGCAACCATGGTTTTAAATTGCGGTTACGGTCGCGGTTGCGGGTATTGCGATGTAGATTGCGGCCATTGCGGTTTGAAATTATTAATTATTTTCACAAAATATAAAAAATTTATAATTATCAATATATATTTTATTTTTAAGGATTTATACATTTTAATTTTTTTTTTAATATTCTATTATTTTAAAGAATAATTTAATTTATTTTAAAATTATAATATCAATTTGTCGTATTGTGAATGTATTGCGGTGCATTGCGGAAGTATTGCAGATACAATACCGTTATGTTGTAAAAAATATATGTTTTTCTGTATCAACGTAATTGCGATCCAATACCATTGCATACAAGACCGCGACCACAATACATGATTCGGTCTGCAATTTAAAGCCTTGAAAGCAACATTTCACATTATCAAATCATCTCTTAAATTTTCAGATACCTCATAATAAACTTAATTGGCAAGCTACTTTTATACAAGGTAAAATCCTAATAACCCTTTCATAAACATCTACGCTGAAAACAATAAAACAATTACTTTTGTATATTCCAACAATGGGAAGAAGACTTTCATCGTAATTTACTATCTGAGAACAAAATCTCCCTCCTGTAACTCTTAGCTCCTCAATCTTCTGTGTGCTTAAATCAAACCTTGAGCTAATTCCTTGTCTTTTCTTCTGAAAAATAAATTTTTCTTCCCTACTCCAATAGGATGCTCAACACACGCCAAAGGCCCAACAACAAAAAGTTTAGTCCACGATTCTTTCACACTGATGTGACCCAAAATTGATATGTGAAAAGTAGTTGTTTTTAACAAAACAGTCGTTGCATTTGGGAGGTGAAGTAGTACTAGTTTACAAAATATATATATATATATATATATATATATATGAA